TAAAAATAAAATGGAAATATTCGAAAATAAAAGTATTCAAAAAAGGTGCAACATGCAGGATACATATATTATAATCGATGACAAATGAAGAAACGTGCAAAAAGTAACAATGCCATGAATAGAAATTGAAATTCCGTGACTATAGAAAATATCTAGAACACACAAGTCACTCTTCAGAAATTTTCCTATCTCAGGTGCATGCAAAATATACTTATATATCAATTAATTATTCAAAGAAATAATTTGGGGTGGATTAGTTCACAATTATCAACATAAGAACATTGTGATATGTGTCACATTCATATAGTACGCAATGAATTGTTGTAACATTATAGTTTTCAAGTTTGTGCAAGCATTTCACTCAGACCACGAAAAAAATCTGCCTCATTGGGGCACCTTACACGAATGTCCTGTAAGATATAATTCAAAAGGGCGAAGATGTTGAAATACTCATCAGTGCGGACAATATAAATGAAAGGTTTCCATCCTTTCTAAAACTGTCGATAGTCATTCCATTTCATAAGAGTAATTCTGTAGATGATCTCAATCGACCAATATCTTTTGTCCGTACTATTGCAAAAATAATTGAAAAATTAGTTATGAGAAGGCCCGATGGATTCCAGAACATGATGTAGTATTATCTTTTCTGTTTGGGGTGTCTTTCAATGTGAATGCTGGAGATGTTGCAGCAGTCTTGTTTTGAGACCTTATAAAGCATTTGACTGCGTTGATCATAAATTACTGCTATATAAGCTGAAAACCAATAGATTTAGATGGGTAACTCTACGGTAGTTTGAGTCGTACCTCGAAGGTAATAGTTAAATTGTAAAAACAACAAATACTGGAGTACTACAAGGATCGGTTGTCGGTCCCATTTTATTCTTGTGTTCAACGATTTGGTAACACTTCTGGAACCTTTACTCTGTCACTGACAACATCACTGTATTGTTGGAAAGATATAACCACTGAGAAAAAAGCTCATTATTAAAAAAAATTAATCTTCTTGGTGTGACTCCAATCTACTCTCCTTCAATATCTTCAAAACAAATATTGTGACTTTCAAATGTCCACTACGGAATTTATCTGTAGAGGATATCATTGAAAACAAAAATGAATTCAACACCAACATAATATAAATACTGGACAAAGCTTCAGATCTACAGTTAATTCACCAACGTATCTAGGAGCAGAAATATTTAATTTGTCACCTAATTATGTGAGAGAGTGTAATAAACTGACATAATTAAAAAAACACAAATTTTTTTTTTCTGAATGAAATATATTACTCGCTCAAGGAGTTTCTTATTTATTGACACTGCGAGTCTGTATAATTTAACCAGTATTGCAAATATTCAACTCTGATTTATGCTATATATCTTAATTAGAGACCGACTTCAGTTGGTCGTTGATGAGGCTTCAAAATAATACCTTTGTCCTCGCAGTTAACACATATACCACTGAAGATGTCTGTCACAGTAGCAGACGAAACGTTTGGTACTAAAACATCAATTTCACTATGGCCTACCAGCTAGACAGGAATGTTGTACAAAAAGAAAACGTTCTATTTTCTGACGAATCAACGTTTATGTTAAATGGTGTGGTAAATCGTCAAAATTGTCGTTATTAAGCAGACAAAAACCCACACTGAATGAGCGAAGGCTGCACTCAACATCCAGGAAAAGTCAATGTTTGGGCAGGGATTGTTGGTGATCGAGTTATAGGACCGATTTTCTTTCAAGAAAATCTTACTGGAGCAATATATTTAGAATTCTTGCAGGAGGACCTAGTTCCGAATTTGGCTATTTTGTTCCCTTGTCCTATAGAAGCTGACGTCCCGAATAGAAACATCTGGTTTCAACAAGGCGGCGTGCCTCCTCATTTTGCAAGACCTGTCGGTGAGTACCTGAATGATGTATTTCCAGGCAGATGGATTGGCAGAAGAGGACCCTATGAATGGCCACCTAGGTCTCCGGATTTAACACCTTTGGACTTTTTCTTAAGCACTGTATATTCTTTGAAGTATTCTTAGACAGAGTTAGTCAAAGGTATGAATTCAGTCATTTGCTATATAAAGCTATAAAAGTTTAGAGTAACGATACTGTATATACCATTTTCAATATGTGGCTTCTTTGCAAATCAGACTTGCTTTTCTTTTCAGAAAGTTGCGGTTTTTGAATTGCTCAACAAAATAAATAAGATGCAAAAACCTTGCAAAATAACATTTCATAACTGTACCAATAATCAAAACAAAAATGTCTAACAAAAAATATTTGAAAATATATTTATCAAAACATGCATCATGCCAATCACGAAGAAGCACAACAGAAAAGTATCACACAGTTAAGTCATCCAAAACAAGCAAACAGAACACTCGAAACACTTCCATGCCTCTTTCGAACCTGAGCGGACGCTTTTTGCACGAAAAACTGCTGTTTATGGGCGCAACTCTTAACATCTGCCCCTCCAAAGTCATAAATACTCTCCTCGAAATGTTGCATCTCTTTCGACTTGTCACTAAACTGATAGACGATAGGGGTGGGATGGAAATTAGGGATGTTCTCGACATCGTAACCTCCCGGTTGGGGAATGATACGGGCGTTGCGATCCAAAGAACCCATTTTGGGAGAAAAAGTCGTTTGTCTTTCCAGGGAACCCATTTTGGGAGAGACGTTTCTGGATTTCCGCTCCAAAGAACCCACTTTGGGGCTGAAAACTCCAGAACTACTGTGGGAGCTCATGTTGCGCTCTAAAGAGTTCAACTTGGAGGAGGAACTGGCATTATCAGAGGCCATTCTCTCCAGAGAACCCATTCGAGGGGTGGCACTGCCAGTGCTAGAACGAGACGAAGTACGTTCCAGAGTACTGGAGGGCTTGCTTGGTTCAACCCCTTCTGGTACTTCAGGATCTAGTTTTTGAAGGTTTTGTATGGCTATGGGTTGGGTTACAAGGATGGGGTCTGGAGTATCGTCTGTTTTCTTAAATTTAACTGCTACTGTGTTAAATACCGAAGCTGGAGTGTTGTAAGCTGCCGGGCTGATTCCTCTGCATTCGTTTTCTTTCATAAGGTGGGCGAGTACTTCTGGATTTTGGGCCACTATGTACGTTTGCGATACGAGACCAGTTGTGGCATCTGTTGATGAATATAACGAGGGATCCACAGCTGAAAAATCGAAGTTTTGGTTTTAAAAGTCTGACAATACATTGTTAAAATGCCAAGCAGTATTATTTGAAGATTTTCAAATATATTTTTCTATACAATTGTGAATATCATGTTATTTTTAGAAACATTGATTAATCATTAAGATGGAAATAACAATGTAAACTCCATTTTCTATACTAATTTCGGATTTCCGTTGTCTAAAAAGGTGTTGACAGATTTGAAACCAAAAATGAAAATTCAAATTAACACTAACTGATACATCAAACTATAGGATTTTCACCAATAGCTTCCTGAAATGAAAATGATAAATTTCATATATTTACAAGCATTTTGTACCTAATATTAGCTATTACCCACGGCCCAATTAGATAAATAAACAATTCAATCACCAGAAACAATCAATCATTTAATTTCTAGTAGAAAAAAAGGTAAACAAAATCAATGATATTACATAGTTCGATTTAAGTATGAATTCTTGGTAAAGTCAGATTGAACAGAGGCGAATTATTCAAATCAATTTCATTGTTTATTAGATATTGACAATTTTTTGATTAATTCATTTCCTTACTTTATAAAAGGTTGAGTTTAAAACCTTTTTTTATAGTAATTAAGAGATCCACATGATAATTCATAAACTCCTGATCTGACACCAAACTCTTGTCATTGTTATTTTCAATATACGTGCTCAGGTTATTTGGGTTTCATTGACCGGATTTACGCCTTTATTTTGTAAGAACTTAGAAATCTTTATGCTAAGTTAACCCAAATATTTTAGGGCTTCATAAAGAAATGTTTGTATCATTTTAGTTGAAGTGCACACACACACACACACTTACCTTGCATTGGATAACGGCTAGGCTTCGGAGGGGCGGCAAAATCGTCGCAGGGTCCCCAAGACATGGCCGCCATTTTCCTGTTCTCCCTCCTAAGCGTCTCTTGTTGAACGCTCTTCTCTTCCAACAAGATTTCTTGCAGAATTTCCTTGATGTCCTTGAAACTGGGCCTCTTGCTCGGTTCGTAAGACCAGCACTGTGACATGAGCGAATAAAGACGGGGCGGACAATCGGGCGGCAAAGGAAGCCGTTCCCCGTTTTCTATCTTGCCTATCACGTCGTTGTTTTTCACTCCTTGGAATGGTTTGACACCGAGCATCAGGATTTCCCAGATGCATACTCCTAAAAGCAACATTGTTTGGGGATAAACAAACCTGGACCTTCAGCAAAAGCAAGTATATATAAATCAGGCAGAGAGTTTGCTTGTCTCAATTTAACAATCATAATGATTCACACATATTATTCTGTTCTATTAAAAAAATTCATTACTTGGTTTGAAATATGTGAATTACTCACCAAACATCCACACGTCGCTAGCTGTAGTGAATCTCCTGAAGTTGATGCTCTCCGGACTCATCCACTTTATTGGCAACTTCATTTTAGACGCCTTGTAGTAACTCTGGTCGTCGCCCATACATCGAGAGAGACCGAAATCCGCTAACTTCACACACTTATCAGTACTGACCAGAACGTTTCTAGCTGCTATATCCCTATGTACATATTTCTTAGATTCTAAGTAACTTAGCGCTGTCGATAATTGGAATGCGTATAGTAAGAGAGTGGCGAGATCGAGACGGTTCTTGTTGTTCTGCAGGTAGGAACGCAACTCTCCGAGTCGGGCTAGCTCCATGACGAGCCACACGGGCGAATCGGAACATAGTCCGATCAATTTGATGATGTGTTGGTGGTCGAATTTCTGCATTATATCTGGAAGGAATGGAATTACATTATGATTTGAAAGGAAACGGTCTATGAACATTGATGTAAACATTCCTCAATGACTTACATGCTTCTTCGAGAAACTTCTCCGTAGTTGCAAGGTCAGCATCGCCCTTGCAAGTTTTCACAGCCACTGGAATGAGTACCCCATCTTTGGTCCTAACCGCACCTCTGTGGACATCACCGAACTGACCTTCTCCCAAAATTTCATGGAGTTCGATTTGATCCCTTACCAATTCATAATTTTTAGCTGAAAAAAATTAAATGATCTATGATACGTGACTTTCTGTTCAATTTAAAAGTTTGTGTGTTTCAATTTGTGCAAGACAAAATGTCAAAAAAGTTATCAATGATTTACGTAGNAGGTGGGACGAAATTGGTAAAATGTAATAAATCATAATGGAACTCTTCTGAATTTTTTTTGTTTCTGTTGTCTTCTTTGCTGCCTATACAATTATTTTTATTATATTTGATGTTTTCATTTTTGTGTGCATATTATAGGTAATGTGTTATATCAAACTTTTACTTATCTATGACAATATGTACATTATGTAACATTATTGGCCAATGAATATTATGATAATTATGATTTTCCAATTCAAAGGTTGTTTCCAAGTCAATGGAAGTTAAATTACATAACCTACCATTGGTTTCAAAACTGAAGATATTCCTTAGCCTATCTCATTCTTTATCATAAAAAAATCAAGAATTCTTTCGTCCACATAAATATAAGTCCCTAAGAAGTGATCGAGAGAAGTCTAGTTTATTTTGGTGTTCGAACATTGCATTCCACAGTTTAAAGTTTTGTGCTTAGTGAACTAGTGTAATGAATTTGTGTTTTCATTATACTGAGCCTCATTCATCTAAGTTCTCACAGGGAAAAACATAAAAATAATGTAGTTTTATGAAAGTTTAGTTTATTCTATTCTTTGTAGCTTTGGAAAGAGAAAAAAGTGTATAACATTTTACCTGCAGGTACAGAATAATCCCCCTCCTCCACAATTTCTGCATAGTCTTCGGATAGCATAGTCCCAGTGGGATTTGCGTAACAATCTTTACTGGACCTTGGCTGCTTGGTAGGATTCGAGTCTGAAAGGCCAATTTCTATGGTAATACATCCGCATTCGCCCATTTCAAAAACTATTCTAGAGAGAAGTACTATGGAAAACACTACTAACCTTTACATGGGCATGGAAATTGTTTCCATACAGTAGCTTGGAAAGAAAGAAAAGAAGCACATCAAGATTCTATTCTAAAATAAGACTGAAGTGAAACTAACATTCTTCTACCGACATATTTTCTAACAGTTTTACATAATCTTATAAAATTATTTGTTCCTTTGCCTTGCATATTCTACAACTTAGTGGTTTGGGGATGGGCAGGTAGGGCTAGGCTACGTAATGACATTGAAACAGAACCAGAAAAAGATTATATCACTGTGGTAATTACACGAAATCAAATTGCATGATTCATATATCCTTTTAGCTTTTGAGTAACACAGAATGTTTTATGTGTTCATATCTATGTTTATATTATATAATGAACTGGTGATGTTATATTTGTTATTTCCTCTATTTGAAAAGTCAACTGAGTTCAACGGAACTGTATCTCTGAAAACTGACACAAACTTGGTACAGATAATATTTTTTCAACTGGTGATTGTCAAACAATATTTTACTTGGTCGATTATAAACTTGATGAAGATGACTTTATAGAAAGCAAAACTGTATTGAAAAATAACATGTTCCAAAGACTGATATTTTATTTAACCAATAACGAAACAGTAGAAATTTTAGACAAGAATATTTACCACAGTAAATTGCAATTTGATAGTGTCCAAAAGAAAAGTTTTCTATATACTCAATTTCAACAAATTTTCTAATAGTGTTCTAGATATATCATTTATTACAAATTTCTAGTTTCTTATTGATCACTCAAAAAAACTGAATTATCAACTGATGTTGTCATTGAAATAAAATTATTTTCAAATGATATTAATATATTACTAGTAAAAAATTGAAAACATCTCTGCAGTGACAGTCTATGTTCTCA